ATGAAAGTCCCACTGAGACTGGCCTTTAGATAGTTTGAAATGTGCAAGTGAATGTAAACCTCCTCGTTTTCCACTTCTCGTCATCTTCGCCGCGCCATCGCTCGTGACCCATGTGGGTGACCGCACAAGTCATGGATCTTGACGGTTCCTTCCCCGCTCGTGTCTTGAGGTGGGTCTATTTAAGCAAAAGTAAGGCGAGCCTCATAAGCGCACTTCGATCACAACCTTCTTCCTCCCTTACCATCGGACAACCCAGAGAAACCCTTCAGTTGCTCCTAGTCTCCCGTCACCATGGCAACCCTAGACCTCCATCGACTCCAGCGCTGCTGGGAGAAGGCCTTCAAGATCAGCTTTCGCCATCACCTAGGCATGGGTGTTAGAGGATGTTTTGTGAAGGTAGGGAGGAATGCATCCATGGTATGGTCCCGCTACTGATCGCCATCTATGGTTAGAGCATGCAGAAACGAAACCATGGAGAGCTTTCATTGGAGCAAGTGCCCTAGCGCTTGTGGATCTTCCAGAGCTTTCACTGGAGCAAGGGCCCTGGATTGGTTTCGTGAGCTAGAGCAGTTCTGGCTCATGAATGCAATCAAGATGTGGGAATAGATATTCTTGTTGCTCTGCTTCTCCTCTTCCTCCAATGCTCCTAGGGGGGATATTAGAGGAAGTTTCACGAGGTTGTTCCCCATCTCCATTCTCCTATCTAGTCGGGTATGGGTTACCCCCATACTTGTAAGGTCTTTGCAAATGGAAGAATGTTGTTACATCTAGCTCCATCATTAATTGAATGTATTAAGGAGACAGATGCAAATGACCCTTATCCAAAGCAAAGCAAGTTATGAGGATTGTTGGAATGTCGTATTTCAATTCCTAGACCCATAGATTGTATGTAGGGTATAAGATATTAATGGAAGATTTATTGTTGAATGTTGGACTCAGTTCTAGTTTATTTCGTACTTAGGCCAGTCTCAGTGGGAGTTTCATATGAGTTTCATTTGCATTAAATAGGTTGACACATAGGCATTTTTTATGACATGGCAGTGTATTTAAGAAGAAAGATAAGAAATGAGAACTCTCTTGGCACGATTACCAACTATCTATGAGTCATAGAATTAAATGCCTATGAAACTATAGAATGAAACTTTGCATTGAGAGTGGATATTTTATCAAGTTTCATTGTCTTGGAAACAATGCCATGAAACTATCCACTGAGGCTGGCCTTAGTGGAGACTTTCATTACGTTGTTTCCAAGATGGCCACGTCATGTAGAATAAAATGAAATATGGATGAAACACCCCTTCTCAATAGAGAGTTTCATTCTAAACTTTAGCAGGAGGAAACCAAATAGGCCCTTAATCTAACATTTTTCTAGTTACAGTTGGGTAGAACGAGTGATAGTTTACAATCGGGTAGAACAAGTGACGCCCTCAACTAGGCAGTAGTCACCGCCATCTACGGCGAACAGTAGCGCGGTGGCTCCTGGAACATCTTTGTAGGACCCATTCACCACCGCCGGTAGCCTTCATCGCCGCCTACATATGGTCTGGTTGGTAATACTTTCGTCAATTTCCAAGCCTGCGTGTTTTTTACAAAGTTGTGCATAATTTCTATTCTCACGTCTGAAAGGGTTGCTTACAAAGCACGATCCCCACCCTATGTCTTTCTCCTTGCCCATAGCTTTTGTTCCTCATCGCCGCTTCTTGCTCCCCAGTGCTGAACTGGGCGACCGCCCCAACTCAACGGGGTGCAAGCCGCCACTCACCGCCGATAAGCTAGTACCCCGCGGCGGTATGCCTCACCGGCAGGGCACGCACAGATACACCGGTGACTAGGCTGCTACTCATCACCGCCATGGCCGCCAATCCTACAAGATCCAAAGGCAATGGTAATTCTTTCATACTTCCCTCCATCTTTCTTGGATTTTTATTCCCCTCTTCACTCATATGAGTACGAAACAAGCTTCCATCTATTTACTAAGGAACTCACGATCCAATCTTCGCAGGCGCTCCTTCTCTGATTTAGGCAATAGCAGAACCGCTTCCATTGCTGGCCTCGCTCCACCAGATCCTAGTCAAGAACTGAAGATGGAGGAGGAGGCCCCCAACAAGAGGAACGAAGTGGCCATCCTCATAGACCATGTCTTCATCCTCATCCTCCAACGCCTCACCGCCCGCACCTTGTGCAGCTATAAGTGTGTCTGTCGCTCCTGGAATCACCTCATCTTCGAATCCAAGTACTGTAAGGAGCTACCCCAGATTGTCGTCGGATTCTTCTATCGCAGCTGGAAAGGCAAACGCAAGTTCATCAGCATCAATGGTGAATACCCCTCCTTGACCTTCTTTCCCTTCCCCATTGAGGATGTTGTGATCTCAGATTACAGCCGTGGGCTCATCCTATGCTAGTGTGTTGGGTTTCACTATGTTGTCTGCAATCCGATGACTAACAAATGGTGGTTACTACGGGATAACAACTGTTCTTTTGGTTCAGCTCGCTTGGGGTTCAATCCGACAGTCTCCTCGCACTTCCATGTGATTAAATATGGGAAGAAGAGGGCAGGTGAGTCCGTAGGTGTGAGCATCTACTCATCTAAGAGTGCAGCATGGATGTTTAAGGAATTTGAATGGGGCGAGGGTGTTGTATGCACATATTCGACAAGTGTGTTCCTTAATGGTTCTATGCACTGGCTAGAGGTGTCCCAGATAGTTGCTGTTGATATGCAGGGAAAGACATGGAGGAAAATTCGTAGGCCACATGGTGAAGCAATCTCCATCCACGAAGCTCAGGGTCAGTTGTGTTTATATACTGCTAGTATGTTCAGGAAGTATCAGCTTTCATTCTAGATCCTAGAAGACTATGGTACTGATAACTAGACACTGAAGCATATGGTGACAATGCTGGAGATATTTGCACGGGATAATATTCAATTTGATTACGATGTTTGCGATGCGAACTACAGAGTGATTGCAGTTCACGTGGAATGGAATTTGATTTTCTTTGTTGGCGAGGACAAAAAACTGATCGCATATGACATGAACCTCAGAAAAGTTCTTGTCCTCCTTGCCCAAGTCGTGTGGTATCATAGACCTACCTGGAGGCTACATTCGGAGGGACCTCACTATCTTCCTTATGTTTCCTTGTTCATGGAGTCAGTAGAAGAGCAGTAAAGTTGCATATGCTGTTCTTTCTTCAGGTAGGGAGTTGTTCTGATTCTATATACATTCCAATTTTGCCTTGGTAACTAAAGCAATTATATGTTGAATATTATTAATGTTGCTGCTTTGTGCAGGTTGTGGAGTCTGAGTGCTTTTGAACGATTTTCCTGCAATGGCTAAGGGAGGAAGAAGAGGGGTTCCATGGTGCACTCGCTACCAAACTAAAGGAAGTTTTGCCTTGCAAGCAGGAGTGCCAATCTATAGGAGCGGAGCACATCTACCTCATTTTCGTTATGTAAGTCTGTAGGGAACAGAACCTTTGTTCTCCTATCTATGTATCGCTTGTGTTAATTCTTGAGTTGACACAATTGTTATGTTAGTGTCGCTTCTTATTATAAAAAGTATTCTTTGTTTTCGTTATGTAAGTCTGTAGGGAGCAGAACCTTTATTCTCCTATCTATGTACCACTTGTGTTAATTCTTGAGTTGACATAATTGTTATGTTAGTGTCGCTTCTTATTATAAAAAGTACTCTTCGTTGTGGACATGATGAATGGTGTGTAATGATTATATCTGTATGGTGTGTGTTCAGTAAGTTATTAAGGCCCATCTAAATTAGTAAATAAATTGTAAACAACGGATGCAATTCTGTCACTGTCTGATGTAAGGGCCGTTGTCTGTTTGGTCATCACCGGCATAACACTCGCTGTTGGTGAAGCAGATGACCAACACCACCGCTATTTGTCTCATGCGGTAGGGGTCAATAGTGTATTACTACCGAATCGTACTGCAATGCGACGGTGACCATTACCGATGACCAAACGGTTCATACGCTGAAGTGACGGTGATGTCCACCTCGAGATAGGCGCGTCGGGCGCCAAAGCGACGGTGAACACGCACTGCACACAATCAAGTCATTGTGCAAGGTGACTGTGATCCTAATCATTGGTCAAAACGGCAGTGTTAGTGTACACCCACACAGGCGGGTCGTGGTACAATGTGACGCAAACAACGACCTAATCATGGACGGATCATAAGCCAACACATCGGTGCTAGTGTATACCAACACAACCGGGTCGTGCTCCAATGCGACAGAAATAAGGACCTTATCATGGACGGATCATAAGCCAATACGACGGTGTGAGTGTACACCGCAGACGGTCTCAGATAGGGATGGTGATGACTACGACTATCACTGTCGACAGCTTACTGTCGAGGCCGAAATTGGACTGCGATGGGGTTTACGACGTGGCTGTGAAAGATGCGAGTGCAGTAGTGCTAGTAACACAGAACTATACTCCCTCCATTCACTTTTATAAGACATAGTGCAACAGACTTAAGTTGGAACTATAACAAATAATTTGTCTGATAGTTATGTGCCGCTAGAATGTGATTTTTATAAGGCACAATGCACATAACTATACCCCATGTTTGTGCACTCGTATCCACCTTAATCCATGTGTGTTTGGGGAGGAAATTAGTTAATTTTCCATCCCAATCTACCTCAATACATGTGGATTGAGATGAACACGACTGCAGTCAAACAAGGCCTAAAGTGGATCAGTTATGGGCTTAAGGCTCATGATATGTATCCTTTCCCCCAATAAGAACAGACACATGTGTGTAATGTGTCAGATACATCAACGAAAACTAAAGATGGCTTTCAGTGATTGCTTTCAATTCATTAAGCACTTTATGTAGAGCTTGTGTTGACCGAGTTTGCACATACATGCAAAAGGAATCCCTACTATCAACCAATCCATTCACTTTGAGTAGCAACATTTTGACATCTTACCCAATCCATGTGAGGATTATCTAACTTTTGAATGATGCCCGACCTTTCACTAGATCATGAAGAGCTAGAGCTTAGCTCAACAAGCGAAGCATATGTTCCATCCTTTGTCCGCATCAACTCTTCATGCTTGCCTTTCTCGGCTACTGCCCCATTCTTGAGGACAGCAATGATGTCTGCACCTCTGATTGTTGACAAGCAATGTGCTACCACCATGGTCGTTCTACCAACCATCACTTGGTCCAGCGCCTCTTGCACCACTCGCTCTGACTCTGCATCTAGAGCACTTGTTGCCTCATCTAGCAGGAGCACCTTGGGATCCTTGATGATGGCGCGATGGCTACACGCTGCTTCTGCCCACCTGACAGTTGGATTCCTCTTTCGCCGACAATGGTGTTGTACCCGTCAGGCAAAGCAGATATGAACTGATGTGCATTGGCTGCTTCAGCAGCAGCAGCAATCTCTTCTTCAGATGCCTCCCCTTGATTCCCATAAGCTATGTTGGAGCGGATGGTGTCATTGAATAGTACGGGCTCTTGCGAAACTAGTCCAACTTGCTGCCGAAGCCAGCTAACTTTGAGGGCTTGAAGTTCCACATCATCAAAGAGGATTTTACCGGAGTCTGGATCATAGAACCTTTCAAGTAGTGCGATCACTGTGGACTTGCCACTTCCACTCTCCCCAACTAGTGCAACAGTCTGCAAGTGATAATGTCACAAAAAATTAGTTCAGTTCAAAATTGTATATTACTACTTTGTTCTTATCCAATTTGACCTTTCCAGAAGGAATGCTCAATGATAGATCCTTGAAGATTTGAACATTTGGTCGTGACGGATACTTGAAGCACACGTTCTGGAAATCAATTTCACCCCTCACACTTGTGATGGTGATACCATCCTCACAGCTATAGTCGATCTTAGATTCCTGGTCAAGAATTTCGAAGACAGATGCAGCCGCATCATTAGCCTTGGTGCTGTCTGCGCCAATTGCACTTGTTCGCGAGATTCCGCTAGTTGCTAAAACTAATACAAAGAAGACCTGAAAGCCACTACTAAACCAGTTAACCACAACATGTGAAACCATCAATTCTATGCACAATAATAAAAAATTTTGATCTCACCCTAAACACTTTAGGAAATGTTGCCGTTCCTTGCTGAACAAACTTGGCACCAACATAGAAGCACAGAGAATATGTAAAGTAGAAGGCAAGGAATGAGAAGGCAAACCCCAAGCCACCAACAATGCCTTCCCTTATTCCTTGTTTTATGGGAGATTCACATTTCTTCTCATAGGCGTCCATCACTTTCTTCTCAGCAGAAAACGATGCTATAGTTCTGATGCCGCCGATTGCATCAGTAGCTACTTGACTCGCTTCTTCATACTTCAACTGTGTCCCACCAAACAATTAGACAAAAAAAATATTTTTCCATACGATAAATGCTTGTAGGAACAACATTTCTGATTTATCCATAGCATGTACCTTTGCATTTCTGTTGAGACCTTTAAGGAACTTCATTTGGGCATAGCCTTGGAAACCCACAAAAGGAACCACCACAGTGATAATCAATGCCAGCTTCCAGTTTGCAACTACTGCTATTGTGAAGCCTGATATGACAGTGGATACAGTCTGAACATTAAGTGCTAAATTGTCCCCAACAAGTCGCCTAACATTCATAGCATCAGTTGACAGCCTTGCACCAATTGTTCCACTAAAGTAAAATAAAAGGAAATTTATGGTATGAGTGATGATGGTTGTTGTAGTGCTAACTGCATATAAGTTGTTCATAAAAAGCATTTGGTCATTTATACTTTTCTTAGTACTGAAAACAGGTGTAACAAAGATGAATGATGTCTGATAAAAATATTTGACACCATAGTAATATTGTCTTTTGAAGGGCGGGCTTGGTGCAAGCGGTAGAGTCTTACCGCCTGTGACTGGAAGGTCCCGGGTTTGAGTCACGGTCTCCTCGCATTGCACAGGCGAGGGTAAGGCTTGCCACTGACACCCTTCCCTAGATCCCGCACAAAGCGGGAGCTCTCTGCACTGGTTATGCTCTTTTATAGTAATATTGTCTTCTATGGTCAGGTCAACATAATTACTGATTTTGGTAGTGTTCAGAATAAAAAATATATGAATATGTTTTTATAAGATTTCTGCATCACTTGATTGAATACAAAAATATATATATATATAAATATTTTAAGATATTTTAAGTGAGAGCAACAATCAAGACACTGATTTCATAGTTATACATGAAAAAGACCAGCTGGAGGAATGTTTCATAGGATAACAGGAAAACAGGTTATTTTGAAACATAATGAATTGAACACACCTTGAGTGTTCAGGTTTATCAAACCAGCTGATCTCTTGGCGCATTACACTTTGGAATGTCAGTGATCGCACGCGCTCCACAAGCTTCCCACCAGCTAATCCAAATAGGAAGTATTCTATTGGAATAAGAACAAATGCACAAGCACCCAGCACAACAAACATGCTTGCCCAGAACCTGGAGTCCTTAAGTAGTTCTGCCGGTGGCTCATAAAACACCTTTATCGCGGTTGAAATTAATGTGCCATATATTGGAAAAATGACTCCATGCATCGCAGCAGTTATAGAACCAAGTGCAAGAACAAAAGCTTCTGGTTTGTTCAGATAGAAGAGTCTACCAATTGGAGCTTTCTTTGGAGCTCTAGTCATTTTGTCGGTAGTCTCCTCTACATCAGGAGATCCATTAAGTACCATAGGATCAGGTAGGCGAAGTGGAGCAGGGAAGGAGTGCCTACCACTATGCCCAAAAGAGGAAGATCCTTTACTAGTTGATCTCTGCCTGGAGATACTTTGGCTTCTTGGTTTGCTATTAGTAGATCTTGAGCCAAAACCATTTGTTACTATGATATCAGGGTCAACACTAGAAAACTCTGCCCCTTGTCGTGTCTCTTGTAGATGTATGAGCTGAGAGTAAGCACCTTCAGGTATCTTCATTAGTTCTACATGTGAGCCTGCTCAGAGTTCATACAAGAAAAAGTTATCTACCTAAGCATGCAGCTCAAATACCACGCTGAGCAAAAAAGAATGAATATTTTATTACCATACAAAAGGACTAATAATTTTTAGGATGACCATAAGGGCATATATATTATGGCTATTACATAATTAGTAGATAGACTGTCTGCTATCTATCAATTAGTTATCAGAAACATCTTGCATTGGTGCTTTAAATGATTTTTCTATTTATCTAAAATAAAATATGCTCGTAAGATTAAAAATATGGCTGTAACTTGTGTCTATTTATAGTTTCATTTGGTAAAAACATTGTACTTTGCGACCTACAATCTTATAGGACAGCACATGGGGGCAACATGGGAACAATATTTTTTTTCCTAGAGATTAAAGGAAAACACATCTATTTCTAGGATTTTAATTAGTCTTCAAATTTCACATATTATACCTTGTTCAACCATCTTCCCATGTTGCAGGACAGAGATCACATCAGCATTCTTCACTGTGCTTAGGCGATGAGCAACGATAATTGTAGTCCTTTCTAACATTACCCTATTCAAAGCTTCTTGAACTACCCTCTCAGATTCCATATCCAATGCGCTGGTTGCTTCATCAAGTAGTAAGATCCGAGGGTTCTTTACGATTGCTCTAGCAATAGCTATTCTTTGCTTCTGCCCTCCAGACAATTGAGTTCCACGTTCCCCAACCAATGTGTCAAGACCCTGTAATGTTCACAAGATATACTGATTAATAATGTGTGGCAGAAAGTTAGCGACTAATTAACATTGTGAGTGCATTAGTTTATATGTACATTTGGTAACTTATCAATGAATTTAGCAGCATTTGCAAGCTCAGTTGCTCCCTTGATCTCTTCTAGTGTTAAATTTTCCATTCCATAGGCAATGTTTTCCCTGATTGTAGTGGAGAATAGCACTGGTTCTTGGCTGACGAGACCAATTTTTCCTCTTATCCATCCAAGGTTCATTCTTCTGATGTCAACTCCGTCAATCAAAACTTCTCCAGCCTGTGGATCATAGAACCTCTCCACCAAGCTGATCACGGTCGACTTCCCACTGCCACTCTCCCCAACTAGGGCCATAGTTATGCCATTTGGTACTCGCAATGAGAATCCATCAAATACTAAATGTTCAGACCTGGTAGGATAGCTGAAGTACACATTCTTCAGTTCAACGTCACCCTTTACGTCCTCCAATATGACACCTGTGGTATCATATATATCAATATCGGGTTTCCGTTCAATTGTCTTGAACATTCTATATGCTGCTCCTTGACCTTCAGCAAAAGCTGTTACTGATGGTGTTGCCTGACCTAAGGACCTGCAGAATAGACATATGTAACTAAAATTAGCAAAGCTGATTGGTTTGCAAAAAAGAAAAAGAAAAACAGCTATGGAAAGACCCTACTAAAAGCACATGAGATTGAAAATATGTTATACTCCATGTTTTATAACATTTTTTTGAGAGAATGTTTTATAACATATTGAAGTAGATATTAAGATATATTCACATCGAGAGTGAGGCTGATCCACGTAGAAGCATTTGGTCATTTATCATGAACGTTATTGCTCATTTAAGAATCTTCAGTGATCATGATCACTTAGGTTATGATACTTACAAAGCGCCGATCATGACAGCCATTATGACAGAAATAACCATGCCGCCATTGTATCCTCGCTCAACTATCAGTCTAGATCCATACCAAACGGCCAACCCATAACTGCAAAATAAGATTGCCATTACAGAACCCAATCCAAGTCCATTTACAGCACCTTCTTGTAGAGCAGATTCATATGCTTTTCTTATGAACTTGTTATATGTTCTTACAGCTTGCTTCTCACCATTGAATGACACAACCTTCAAAGCATAAGCAGATCAGCTAGGTTACCAGAACATCACAATGCTAGCTACCTTATTACAAGTAAAGGATGCAAGAGTGAATAACCACAAAGTTGCACTAACCGTTCTAATTGCTCCAAGCATTTGTTCGACAACATTCCCAGCATCACCATATTTTGCTTGCATGCGGGTGGAGAGTCTTGTCATCACCTTTGAAACAATCGCACCAGCAATGGCAGTTGGAGGAATGCTTGAGAGCATAACAAGGGCCAAGAGCCATCCTCTCACAAATGCAATAATAAAGCCACCAACAAAAGTAGAAAGGAGCTGTATGGACTTCCCAACCTAATGAAAAATATGTGCATAAACACCCCAAAGAGTTAACAAGGGAACAGTTCTTATGGTTTATCAGATGTTCATAAACAAACCGAGTACATATATTTTTCTACTTGAAGAATATTAAGGTACAAAACTATGCAATATTTGATAGCAAGTTCATGTTACCAACATTGTGTAACATTAGGATTTGGCTTCTCTGTCGACTTTGCTTTTTCTACACACTTCTTTTTGTAAGTCATGTGCAAAAGTATATGTTTAATCATTGTGCACACTTTTTTGAAACTCATCTCAGGAAATAAAAAAAAAATCTTCGCCATGTTGCTTATAGAAATCTATAGCATAAAAATGCACTCAAACATAAGCCTTTTTTTTGTACCGTATTGGTCATGGATATCCAAAAAGGAAAAAAAATGAGAACATGCATTGTGCGTATTTTATTAAGAGAAGAGGGACTGCGACCACGCATCGAAGAGTTCAAAATATGTACATCGAAGAAGAAATGCAATTTAGCTATTAGCCTTTCACTTCCTACAGTTTCAAAGGAGCGTACCTTTTCTCCAATGGCATCTTGAATTAGGAATGTATCCCCTGCCATCCTCTCAACCGCTTGTCCAGTGCTCATTTCCATGTCAAAGAATGCAATATCCTGTCTTAGAATTGCCTTGAGATACAAGGCTCTGATTCGTGCTGCTTGTCTTTCTCCAGTAATTGTCCAACATGATACCTCTAGCAAAATATCAAGTTACTAAATTGACAGAGATTTGTTTCTAGTAATATCCATTACTGAAAAGAAATTCAGGAAAACAAATCTTCTGTATAAGTAATCATTTCCTAAAGTTGGCAAATTCTGAAATCAAAAGAGGATTTCTGCCCAGTAATGGCTATGACAAATTTTGGATAGGAAATACACCACTTACGAAGTGTTGACGCAAGGCCTGCTCCAATGGCAAGATAAACGAAGTTCATTATCACCTGGGAACAGGAAACAGGCCATTGTTCAAAGAAAGAAAAAGAAAACAAAGCCAGTTACCTAATTAACCTATATATTTTTTTTCTTTTTAGATGACCAGTACAGTTTTGTTTCAGATTTGAGTTCCCATCATTTACAATCATTTGTAAAGGAGTTATTTGTAGTTTTACATGAAAGCTATTTAACAGAGGCAATATTACGGTACTCCCTGTCACAGGATTGTAATCGCGGCGAGCATCATGGTTGTTCATCAGAAGTCGATGTGTGGGTCTCCGATGGCTCGGACACTCAATACACGGAAGGGACACGACTTGATTTATCCTGGTCTGGGCTTCTAAGCCCTACATCCAGCAGTGTATAGCGATCTTCGTGTTAGGAATGCCCAATCAGGGGAAGAATTTTTGAATGGTGATGTAGGCCGGAGTTTCCGATGAATCCAAATAGCCTCTGGGTTTTTTCACATTTGGCGAGCATCCGGAACAACTAGTGAATTACAACTCTATTGTACCTAATTGGTGCATTGATTTTTGCATCGATAATGGGCCTGTTCGGCAGGACTGAAAAATAAGCCAAAATACTGTTCCGGCTGATTGTTGTGAGAGGAAAATAATGTTATGTCTGAAAACACTGTTCACATGAACAGTGCCCACGTGAGTGGGCTGGCCAGCCACCAGCCAGCCAAACACCCTGAATACTTTTTGCCGGTTGGTTCCATTATCACAAAGTCGCTCCCAAATTGGCTTGGTTCCCAGATGTAGAATCCATGTTGAATCACCACTTAGCGAGGTTATTAGGACTTGGGTCTCTTTCTTGGGTGGGACACCAAATCCGCACATGGCGTTGGTGGAGTCCATTGTCTTGTTGTGTCACGCCCGTTGCGTGACGCCTACCGAGAGAGTAGCCGATAGGGCCTCGTGTCTGTTGAACGGACAGATGGCGCAACATCTCCATACCTGTCAGTCCTCAAGTGTTTGATGGTTTTTTGAGCCGGATCCTGGCAGATGGCCTGGATCCTGGCAGATAGCTCAGGACACCGGTTGCCACCCGGGCGTTGGGTGTAGGTCAAGGGCTAGCGTCGCTCGGTAGTCCAGGGCTATGGCCGAGCCCCGGCCCCGAGCATTGGGCGACGGCTGCGGGGGCGCTTGGGCTCGCCTTGACTCCCTCCGAAGGGTACACGCGAGCGTATTTGATGGGTATAACCCCCGAGCGATCTATGGGATCGGTTGGAGGGTCCGTCGGCTTCCTCTTTCGCAGGAACTCAACATATCTTTATGTTAGACTCTTGTCAGGTACCATGTAAAAGTAATTTTTTTAGCAAGTTCATAATATATACAACATTATGCTCATGTACATCGTAGTAAAAAAGTATACAAAAGTCATGTGAGGAACACATCGTACGTACCAAGAAAACCGTTAAACATGTCATGTCAAATTATGGTCTGATGTAATGACAACTAACAAAATTTTAGAGACAAAACACGTTACAGACACAATTAAAAACATGTTACATGCATGCATCAACTAATTGGGTTGGGAAATAACTTGAGCATAACGGTAATGCTGCTGCTAGATGTGGCGACACGGCCGGTGAGGGGACAGAGAAACGGAAAGGAAAGAGAAAGAATAGAAAGGGAGGGAGGAAGAAGAAGAAAGGTCGAGGCAAAAATAATATCTCAACATAGTTATTTTTCTCTCAAGAGTTGAAAATGAACATTTGAATCTGTATGGTGTTTTTTTAGCAATTTTATAAATCAGATTGTCTACTAGCTAAGTAGATTTTGTTTCATTGTTCTGGTAACAAGACATTACTTTTAATGTACTGTAGTAATAATTTTTAAAAAATATAATATGAGATAGATCCCACCATTCAGTCACTAAATTTATAAAGCTGGCCAGTCATTCACAGGTCAATTTTGTCTTAGAAAGCCCTAGGCCTTGTTTAGATGAGTGTTAGAAATCAGAATTTGGCACTATAGCACTTTCGTTTGTATTTGATAATTATTGTCTAATCATGGTTTAACTAGGCTCAAAAGATTCGTCTCGTAATTTACAATCAAACTGTATAATTAGTTATTTTTTTATTTAGATTTAATACTCTATGCATGTGTCCAAAGATTTGATGTGATGGAAAGAGAGTGAAAAAACTTGGAATCTAAACAATGCCCTAAAAACAAGTCCATCTAATCACCACAGCTCTAAAAGAATCAGTCGGCCTCGGATGACGCGAGTGTACACGAAGACGAACGCCAAGCCCTGGGCCGCTTTCCAAGCTTGTGCACGAACGACCTAGGAAGGGCTGTCCGCTTCATGTGTTCTTCCATGAATATTGGATTTGGATTATTATTTTTCTCTCTTTTAGGTTATATTTAATTATTTAGCTAATTCATAAAAAAATAATGGTTCGGATTCATCTGTGTTATTACCTCCGACCTCTCCGTCTTAAAATATAAGGGATACACGTTTTAATTTAAATTATATTAACTTTGATCAAAATTATAGAAAATAAGTATAATATCAAACTAGTGTCATTGGATACGTTGTGAAATGTATTTTCACATTTTACATCTTTGATGTGATAGATGTAAATACTCTGTATAAATTTGGTTAAACTTTATATGGTTTGATTGAGGATAAACTTGAATCCCTTAGCTTGTATTTAAGAGGACAGAGTAATAAGTAATGGGAGTACCATAGTATTGTCCCTTATGAAATAGTACATGATGAGACATGTTGGTGAAAAATTAAAGGATAAAATGGGATTCCATGCACCAGTGGAGCTACACCTCCTCGCGGTACAAAGCTAAAATTCAGATTTTGTTCAGATGGTAACCATCCACAACTAACATATATGCCTGGAAAAGTGGGTTGTTGGATTGTAACATAATGAGACTGTTACAGTCATATTACAGGCTAGGATACGTTTGTTTTTAGCTTACGTACAGATAAATTAAAGCTGAAAAAGTAGTCCCTAAGCAGGCTAGGACCACCAGATAGAGTAAATTTATCAACGGGCCGGGTCGTTTGCTGCCGTAGTTTTACATTATGTAAATATTTTGTCTTGAAAATAGAGAGAGAGCTGTCAGCTAGCTACTTTATGATGTATATGAGTTACAATAAAGTTGTGCTAAACAGCCATTTGTACTTGCTCTAGTGGATGTCCTTAATTTTTCGGTAAACAGATTCTATCGATCCAATGGTACCGCATCACCGAAATTCAATCGCACATTGGAAGCATGGATATGTCCAATTCTGAAAATGTTCCCCATAAACTGACAAAAATGGGAATGGTAACTTGTATGCTTAGTGTTTGGAGAATCTAAAACGACAGATAGCAATCTGTTTACAAATCTCCTTTCTACTATGAGCTAATGCATATTTATTCAAACTATTTGTTCCTTCCTTATGTATGTACTTCTCTTCAAGACAATGTCATCTGTTAGCAGTCATGCAGCAGCTAGCGATTTTTATGATGTTTCTCCAATTCCTATAGACCTTGTTGATTCAACATCATCAGGTTACTCTTCGGTTCCATATTCAGTTGCCTCATGGCTCTAAAGTTTATGAAATTGTGTCATCTATTATCGTTTACGTACTTTATGAATTCGGCGCTCCACAGATTGCAAGATTTTGTAGTGGAATATTTAAGGCTTGGTGTGAACCTAAAAATCAGCACTGTACAAATGGTACAGATGCAAAGTTCATTTCAACTAAATATCTGAATTTACAGCAGCATCTAACTGTTTGGTTGATTTTACATTTTCCATCTAGGCATAGGTAACTAGCATAATACCAATATAATTATAATATATAGTTCAGTATTAGATTACTATTGACCAATCTACAAGTTAGATAACTACAATATCATATTTTCAAACAATACAACAACGACAACATAGCCTTTCAGTCCCAAGCAAGTTTGGGTAGCCTTTCAAACAATAGCAGGCATATATCTCCTGTGCCAAGATATTACAAAGTTCTTTTCTCTGAACTTATGTACTCTGATCCCCTGGAAAAAAGAACTTATGTACTGTGAAGTTTCGATCAATTTCTCAAAGATAAAAAAACAAATATGTGCACTTGCACTCCGAAGTTGTGACCATGCCTTAATAATTGATGAAGGCTGCAACTCACTATCATTTGCTCCTCAGCTATGTTATCTAACTGGGGTAGCACAGTCTGTAAGAATATGAACATTTTATCACTGAAATTGTATACTATCTTGCTACTCAAAATGTATATTATCTTACGGTCTTGGTAAAGGAATATGAAGCCCCACTTTGAACTGAAATTAAAGCAACATAATTTATTTGGTTGCAATTACATTCTTAATAGTGGCAGCAAATGTCATTTTGACTTTCATCTTTCACTTTTTCCTATTAAAGTCTCTGTGCAGATCTCCTCCATCTCTACTGTTAAACTGGAGATTGTCTTTTGATCAGCAAAAATCAGGAAGCACATATGCAACCAAGGATAGTTAAACACCGCATAGATTAACCCAACGACAGAGATAGGCTGGACCACTTGCGTAGCCGTGGGCGCGCGGCAAAGCTGCGTCTGATTTTCTAGTTTTGTCTTAGAAAGCCCTAAAAAACAAGTCCATATAATCAACAGCTCTAAAAAAATCAGTCCACCTCGGATGACGCGAGTGTACACGAAGAAGAACGCCAAGCCCTGGGCCGCATTCCGAGCTTGTGCACATAGGAAGGGCTGCCCGCTTCGTGTGTTCTTCGATGAATATCAGACTTGGATGATTA